GCAGAGCTGCTCTGCCCCGGGTTTCCTGGAATCAGCCGCTGATCAGTTTCAGCAGCGGCTGACTTGGGAACACCTGGGGCAGAGCAGCTGGGGTGCTGCTGGGCTGGTCCAGTAGCGCTGAGGAGCGGCGCTGCGGGACCAACCTAGCAGCACCCCAGCTGCTCTGCCCCAGGCGTCCCCAAGAGCAGCTGGGGTGCTGCCATGTTGGTCCCGCAGCGCCAAGGGTCGGCGCTACCAGACCAACCCAGTAGGCAGCGGCTGACTTGGGAACACCTGGGGCAGAGCAGCTGGGGTGCTGCTGGGCTGGTCCAGTAGCGCTGAGGAGCGGCGCTGCGGGACCAACCTAGCAGCACCCCAGCTGCTCTGCCCCAGGCGTCCCCAAGAGCAGCTGGGGTGCTGCCATGTTGGTCCCGCAGCGCCAAGGGTCGGCGCTACCAGACCAACCCAGTAGCACTCCAGCTGCTCTGCCCCAGGCGTGTTCAATTCAGCCGCTGCTGGTCAGTTTCAACAGCGGCTGAATCTGGACGCCAGTTCCGACCTGCATACAAATTCAACTTAAGAACAAACCTACAATCCCTATCTTGTATGTAACCCAGGGACTGCCTGTATTTCGATTTGAGCTATGCAATTGACGTAGCTGAAGTTGCACAGCTTAATTCAAATTTAGCCTTGTGTGTAGACGTACCCTAAAAGAGTTTATTAATCATTCATGTCACAAATGAGTTAGAATGCTAAATGTGCTTAAAAGCGGTCACATTTCTGCCTGTCAATCAGTATGGATCAATCTCTCAAACCAACTATTTACACAGTATTTATAAACTAGAAGACTTACCTGGTGTCACTCAGGTCCTTCAGGGGAGGGGGTGCAAAAGTCATAGAAGGGCTTGGAGTGGGGGAGTACAGGAGTCAGGTGTGGGGCATGAGAAGGGCCTCAGGGCAGAGAGAGGGAATGCAGAAGTTGTGGGGGGATAGGGAGCTGTGCTGGCTGACTGGTGGCTGCTCCCTGGGACTGGGGTGCTTGCTGCCTCCTGTGGTCATTTGTGAGTATAATTTGTTTTAATCTTAGCACAGAGTTTGTGTGGTTCTCAACAAAGAATACAGACACATAAAGGCATCCCTGAGGAGCAAACAGCCTAAAGCAGTCTCCACAGAGACCAGGACCATTACAAGCAGCAGGTAGTCCCCCTCAGACACTGTACAACCACAGCCCCATCTCTTATGTGAATGTTTGTCTTCCTTAAATTTCTGTACCTTAAATTAATTGATTCATCATAAACAAATATTTACAGCCTAGAACAAATGAATTCAATATCAAGTGAACTGGCAGAAAGGTGTACATACAACCTATGTAAAGACAGTCTCTTCACCAAAGCACTTACAATTCAAGTAGACAAAACAGATGAATGGTACAAACAAGGGAATATAATCCTCATTTTATAGATGGGAAGCTTTAAATCAGAGGTTTAAACTGATTTGTCCAATCTTGCACAGGAAGTCTCTTGCAGAGCAAAGAATGAAAACCGTATCTTTGTAGTTTCAATAACACTGATAATAAGACAGACCATCCTTATTCACTTTTGGGGGCATTTTGTTGCAACCAAAATCTCATCTAGTACCAGGAGACTTGCAACCTTATTTTAATGGAACTGCAGAGGTTTCTGTATTAGTACTTAAAACAAGTCTGATAATTCTCTCCTACCTGAAACAGACAGAGGAGCAGGGAGACAGAAGAGAAGTGATACAAGCTAGCTGTAATACTCTCTTGTAAAGCTATTTGCTAAGTTTCCCCCTAAGTTGTACAGCTGTGCAGCTTTCCATTAATCCCCGTGCACGAGCTCAGGAGATATGTCCCCCAAGACCTGAAGCTGCCAGGACCAATGGGGGGTGCCTCTTCCCCACCCAGCCCAGCACAGAGCTGCTACAGCGTGGGAAAAGGGGGCCCTCCCTTGCCATCTACAGCAGAGAGTTGCCCAGGCAAGCCCGAGCTCCAAACTCGTGCCCCACAGCCCTAAGCATCTTCCTACACCCCAAAGCCAAAACACCCAGCCCAGAGCCTGTACTCCATTCTGCATCCCAAGCCCCAGTCCAGAGCCTGACCTCCTTCCTTCACCCAAGCTTCTTATCCACACCCCCACCCTAGAGCCTGCATCCCCAGCCAGAGCCCTCACACTCCTTTTCACCAACCCTCTCCCCCCCAGCCCTGAGCTCCCTCCCACAACTCAGAACCATTGGCCCCATCCAGCCACACATGACTTTTGTTGTATGCCCCAAAATGGAGGAGATATGCAACACATCATCTCCGTGTTGCACATCACCTCCACACTGATGCCCATATCTTTCTAGTAGTGGTTGAATATGAAGTCAGCAACTGGCAATTAAGAGATGGATAAAAACTTTCAATTGACAAAGATTTGTATACATTCTACAGTCTAAATATGCATCCACCCCATCTGCATATAAGCAAATGAAGGCAATGCTAATGTAGGCTTGGGGAGAGGGGGATTACCATGTTTTAGAAAAAAACAATTTTTGATTTTAAATGAAATCATTAAAAAAAACCTCTCACCAGAGACCTGAACTCCGCCACTGTGGAACTAGCTTCAGTCTCATCTTTATACATGCTGAGGCATCCCACAAGCGTGACATTTGGGACTGAAGAAATGTATTTTGGGAAGTGTTAGAATACATTAAACTTAAAAATAAAACTTAATAGTTGAAGTGCTAGGCTTGGGATCTGCCCCAAAAAAAGTAGTAATTTGAAAATAAGGATAAATCTCTGACTTGGTTGGGAGATGAAAGAACAATGAACAAAAGGGGAAAAAAAGAGTGACTTAAAGATTGACTAAACTTCCTAGCTTTGGCAGCCCATCCAAAAGTTTGCTAAGGTTTGCTTATCAAAACTTATCTCTTCACAGAAAGAAATTACAAGCTTATTTATAAAAATAATCACCCCCGCATACCAATTTGAATACACATAAAGATAAAAACCTCTCAAAATCCAAAAGTTACAGAACATACCATTAGACTTTTCAACCTATAAGCCAATTGTCTCAATAGAACCTTTAGACAATTTCCAGCAGATTAAAATAAATCCTTATTTTATGGCTTCATAAAATATTTCCAGCATGATTTATGTCTACCAGTTTAGACTCCAGCTTTAAGACCAAAATGGGCTGTCATGATCATCTAATCTGGCCTCCTGCACATCAAAGGATACAGATGCTTACCCACTCATCCTGTAAAAGTCCTACAACCTATGACTGAGTTACTGAAGTCCTCAAATCATTTATTTAAAAATTCAAGTTACAGAGAATCCATATTTACACTAATTGAAACCCGGAAGTGACTTTTGCCCCATGGTGCAGAGGAAGGCAAGCTACTCCCGCCCAAAAGATCTCTGACAATCTGACCTGGGGGATGAATACCTTCCTGACATCAAATATGGCTATTAGTTGAACCCTAAGCATTACAGCAAGACCCAACCAGTCAGACACCTACGAAAGAATTCTCTGTAAATAGATCAGAACCATTCCCATCATGTGTCCAATCACTACGGATATTTGCTACTAGTAGCCCCAGATCAGCAACATGTCAGTATAGGCAACCTTATTGTAACATAAACTTATCAAGCTCAAATCAAGAAACCAGTTAGGTTTTTAGCTCTCTCTAGACCCCTTGGAAGGCTGTTCCAAAACTTCACTCCTCTGATGGTGACATGTTATTGGATTTTAATATGAGCAGGAAGATCACCGTTGCATTCAGTGGCGCATTTGCCCCAAATTCAGTGCAAAGTAGCCCAACTGAAGTGTCAAACGAAAACTTATGTTGTGCTGACTCTGTCTAGGATACTTATGTAGATGTACAATCCGCATGTGCAAAGTTATTAATATGGGCTTTGTATTTATATTTTAAATGTTTTCTGCTGGGAGGGGTGGTTGCACGATACTGCATGAACAGTGACTCTTGAGTGTTGCCAATTGACACCTGAGGAGCACACAATGGCCCCTTTCCTGAGAAGGACACTCCTGAGGACTCCGGTTCCTTGCCTAAAAAGGACAGAAACTGGTTTGTGGGTCATGTGACCAGCCCATTTAGAGAGGCACCAGCATCCAGGAAAAGAAGATTATAATACCAGGAGGGTGCCTCCATTTTGTCTTCAATCCTGCTCCTGATTCCAGAAGCACCCATGTTATGAACAGAGGGCCTGGAAGAATTTGTTGACCCATCCTGACATAGGCTGTACAGCAGAGACTTTTAAGCTGGCAGTTTGTAACATCTTTGCTAAGAGCCTGCATCAAGAATTTGGTGATTGATGTATGTAATGTATTCTCTTCAACAATCTCACTCTCAGCCTTTTCTTTCCTTTTCATTCCTTTAGATTCTAAAGGACTGGCACAGTGTGTGCTTTTGGGAAAGATCCAAGGTATAAAATTTACCTGGGACTGTGGCTGGTCCTATGGGACTGGGAGAACCTGTTTGGACTTGATGAGATTAGTTTTATAACCTCTCACCTGCGTTAAGGTGTGAGTCTGATTGTGGCACAAGTAAAGCTGAAGTGTCTAATGGGTTTTGCTTGCGAGGCTTCTTGCTGACCAGAGTGGCAGCTGAGGTGCTTTGTGTGAGTGGTTTGGTGCCTTAGAGGGAAGGACTCCAGTCTTGGGCTAGCCCTGTTTTTGAGCAATTCGCACTGATCTGACCCTCTCAGCAGTGACCAGACCAGCCTGATATATTACAGATGGTTACAAACCTTTATCTAATGTCAAGCCTAAACTTGTTGCTTGTCAGTTTACATCCATTTATTCTTGAGTCCGCACTGGTGCTAAACTTAAATAACTCCTCTCCCTCCCTGATATTTTTCCTTCGATATATTTAGAGAGAGCAATCAGATCTCTCACTCTTTTGGACAGGATAAAGAAGCCAAGCTCTCAAAATCTGTTAGTGAAGTTACAATAAAAAAGAACTTAACATTCTAGTTACATGAAACAAATCTTAGTGCTCACCTTCTGATCTGAGTTATCTTGAAACAACAAGCCAAAGTAGTCCTTTTCCAGTAAATTGAGCTGTTCACACACCTTGTCAAAAAGCACCTGGCCCTTAGCTCTTTTCTGAAAAATTAAAAAAAAAAAAAAATAATAATTGGTTAGGTTAATTAAAATATTTAATTATTAGAATTCTGGGTCAGTCATTCATTACAAATTATATTCACCCAATTCTAGATGGAAATTTTACAAATATGCTGTATTTGTTTAAACTGAACATTGAAAAACACTTTTTCCTAACAGTGTATTCCTCTTATTCATAAATCGCAGACTGCAAGTAAATATTTCAAATGCATTGATTAAAACCCTGCGAATAGTTTTCACTTCTCCTAAATGTTTTACAATGAAAGCTTCACAGACAAGATTAACAAAACAGTCATGTAAAAAGGACACTATACATAGTAATAAAACTGAACTTGTTTTCATTTAACATATTTGACAATCAATTCCTCAAAGATGTGTGTTCAGAAATAATGGTAGATTTCAAGGCCACTTTATAGAGTGTCATAGTAAAGAGTACAAAGGACAGTGCTCTTATTCTTTCACTAGAAAGCGAGTTTCAATCTGTTCATATGTAAACATTCAAAAATGGAGAATAGGTTGTTTTCTTACATTCAAAGGTACTATTCAAAGTGATCCTGAATAGGCAAAATGACTGCCACAATCTTAGCTGTTTTTAAATCTTGTGGTACTACTGTTGCATCATTCCAGGGAAAACATAAGATGTGTATTTGCCTCTTCTAATATATGATTGTAAGCTCTTTTGGACAGAGAATGAGTTAGGGTTTATAAATTGTGCAAACAACTTATTGTGTTGTAAATAAGTTTATTAATAAAGTTATAACTTTCTGGCTATGCATAAAATCTTGTTGCATAATATCACAAAATCATAGAATCACAGAATACAAGGACTGGAAGGGACCGCGAGGGATCATCAAGTCCTGTCCCCTACCCTCATGGCAGGACCCAGTACTGTCTAAAACATCCCCAATAGACATTTATCAAACCTACTCTTAAATATCTCCAGAGATGGAGATTCCACAATCACCCTAGGCAATTTATTCCAGTGTTTAACCACCCTGACAGTAGGGAACTTTTTCCTAATGTCCAACCTAAACCTCCCTTGCTGCAGTTTAAGCCCATTGCTTCTTGTTCTAGCCTCAGAGACCAGGAAGAACAAGTTTTCTCCCTCCTGCTTGTGACACCATTTTAGATACCTGAAAATCGCTATCATGTCCCCTCTCAATCTTCTCTTTTCCAAACTAAACAAGCCCAATTTTTCAGCCTTCCTTCATAGGTCATGTTCTCTAGACCTTGAAGCATTCTTGTTGCTCTTCTCTGGATCTTCTTCAATTTCTCCACATCTTTCTTGAAACGTGGTGCCCAGAACTAGACACAGTACTCCAACTGAGGCCTAATCAGTGCAGAGTAGAGCGGATGAATGATTTCTCGTGTCTTTTAATGCATTCTAAAATCATGTTGGCTTTTTTTGCAACAGCGTCACACTGTTGACCCATATTTAGCTTGTGGTCCACTATAACCCCTAGATCCCTTTCTGACGTACTTCTTCCTAGACAACCGCTTCCCATTCTGTACGTGTGAAACTCATTGTTCCTTCCTAAGTGGAACACTTCCCATTTGTCCTTATTAAACTTCAATTTTGTTTAACCTAAGACCATTTCTCCAATTTGTCCAGATCATTTTGAATTATGACTCTATCCTCCAAAGCAGTTGCAACCCCTCCCAGCTTGGTATCATCTGCAAACTTAATAAGCGTACTCTGTATGCCGATATTTAAATAGTTGATGAAGATATTGAACAGAATCGGTCCCGAAACAGACCCCTGCAGAACCCCACTTGTTACTCCTTTCCAGCAGGATTGTGAACCGTTAATAACTACACTCTGGGAACTGTTATCTAGCCAGTTATGCACCCACCTTATAGTAGTCCCATCTAAGTTGTATTTGCCTAGTTTATTGATAAAAATATAATACAAAACCATATCAAATGTCTTACTAAACTCTAGGTATACCACGTCCACCGCTTCTCCCTTATCTACAAGACTCGGTATCCTATCAAGGAAAGCTATCAAATTGGTTTGACATGATTTGTTCTTTACAAATCCATGCTGGCTGTTCCCTATCACCTTATTATCGTCCAAGGATTGAGAACTGGTTAAAAGCCAGGAAAAAAAGGGTATGAATAAATAGTAAATTTTCAGAATGGAGAGGGGTAACTAATGGTGTCCCCCAAGGGTCAGTCCTGGGACCAATCCTGTTCAACTTATTCATAAATGATCTGGAGAAAGGGGTAAGCAGTGAGGTGGTGAAGTTTGCGGATGATACCAAACTGGTTAGGATAGTCAAGACAGAAGAAGACTGTGAGGGACTTCAAAAAGATCTCACCAAACTGAGTGATTGGGCAACAAAATGGCAAATGAAATTTAATGTGGATAAGTGTAAAGTAATCCACATCGGGAAAAATAACCTCAACTATACGTACAGCATAATGGGGGCAAAATTGGCTATGACAAATTAGGAAAGATATCTTGGAGTTATCGTGGATAGTTCCCTGAAAACTTACACACAGTGTGCAGCGGCGGGCAAAAAGGCAAATAGGATGCTAGGAATTATTAAGAAAGAGATAGAAAAGAAGACAGAACATCTTACTGTCCCTGTATAAAACTATGGTATGCCCACATCTTGAATACGGTGTACAGATGTGGTCTCGTCACCTCAAAAAAGATATTTTGGCCTTGGAAAGAGTTCAGAAAAGGGCAACTAAAATGATTAGGGGTTTGGAACGGGTCCCATATGAAGAGAGGTTAAAGCGACTGGGACTTTTCAGTTTAGAAAAGAGGAGACTGAGGGGGGATATGATAGAGGTATATAAAATCATGAGTGGTGTGGAGAGGGCTGATAAAGAAGAGTTATTTATTAGTTTCCATAATAGAAGAACTAGAGGACACCAACTGAAGTTAATGGGTAGCAGGTTTAAAACTAGTAAAAGAAAGTTCTTCTTCACACAGCATGTAGTCAACCCATGGAACTCCTTGCCAGAGGAGGCTGTGAAGGCTAGGACTATAACAGAGTTTAAAGAGAAGCTAGATAATTTCATGGAGGTTAGGTCCATAAAGGGTATTAGCCAGGGGATAGAAATGGTGTGTCTGGCCTCTGTTTGTCAGAGGCCGGAGAAGGATGGCAGGAGACAAATCGCTTGATCATTGTCTTCAGTCCACCCTCTCTGGGGCACCTGGTGCTGGCCACTGTCGGCAGACAGGCTACTAGGCTAGATGGACCTTTGGTCTGACCCAATACGTCCATTCTTATGTTAAGTGTTTGCAGATGATTTCCTTAATTACTTCCTCCATTATCCTTCCTGGCACAGAAGTTAAACTGACTGGTCTATAGTTTCCTGGGTTGTTTTTATTTCCATTTTTATAGATGGGCACTATATTTCTCCTTTTCCAATCTTCTAGAATCTCTCCTGTCTTACATGATTTTCCAAAGATGATAGCTAAAGGCTCAGATACCTCCTCTATCAGCTGCCTAAGTATTCTAGGATGCATTTGATCAGGTCCTGGTGACTTGCAGACATCTAACTTTTTGAAGTGATTCTTAACTTTTTTTTTTTTTATCTTCTAAACCTACCCTCTTCCCACTAGCATTCACTACGTTAGGCATTCCTTCCTCAGACTTCACGGTGAAGACTGAAACAAAGAAGTCTTTAAGCATCTCCAGGGGTCGACAAATTAGGGAAAACCCTACTTGCCAGACAAAAAAGGGACTTGAAATACCGGGTCCCCGTCGCGTGTAGACGCGGGCAGTTAGTCCGGACGTGTAAATTTCAAAAATGGCGACCAGCCAGGAAGATGCAAATCAAGCGCGGGATAGTTAAATCCCGGGCTTGATTTGCAACTTCAAATGCCTACATTAGCTTCCCTAGTTTGAACTAGGGGGCTAGTGTAGACATACCCTAACGGTTAACAGTGTCAATGCTATTTAGAAGTCCATGAAAATAGATGTCCTTTGTCCAGTGTCCTTAAAGTGGTTTTCCTTCCCAAATGACAAGACAAATCTCTGACTCGTTTGTACACAAATAATTTCTTCAGCAGCTAACTGAACATAAGAATTTAGATAATCTAATTCCATTTCAAGATTTTTGTCAGATACTGTGTATGTAGTAATCTGAGAAAGTGTCTCAGCTGAACAGATAGGAACTCCTAAAATAGCTTCTTTTCACAGAATCGAAATACTACAATCTGTGCAATGACTACA